TAATGGTAGAGGTCACAGTCCGATAAAAATGCTAAGCTCCTGCCTTTGCTGTAGTGTTGGATGCAGTCATTGGTCTCACCCATAACTCTGCTGAATGGCTCTTACTGCTACTGGAAGTAGTAGCCCCAGCACCCATCCCTTATGCTCCCAGGGTGAAGGGTACAGGAATATGTCTTCCTGTGTCATCCTCTGCAGCGCTCATATGTTCAAAATTAAGTAAACAAAAAACATAATCAGTAAGTCTGTAGTGTAGTCAGGCATGGACATTTCCTGTATTACTAATTACAAATACCCCAAAAGTATGGTATTGCTAGAAGTAACTCACACCTCCATGGCAATTAAACTGTTTCAGAGTTCTCAGGAAGGCTGTGGATGCAGTTGCTGCGGCTCCTAACTGACCAGGTGCTCTGAGGCCTTGCCTTGCATAGTGGTGCTGAACCAGCATGCAGCATTAGTAATTGCTGGGACTTGCTTGGAAATGCAAACTCACGTCCCAGCCTAGACAAACCGAGTCAGAATTGTCTTCTGCTCCCAGGGCCATTATCCACTAGCTGTGCCCCCATAATCAGGTCATTTCCTCTTTTTGTACTGCCTTGTCAACTATGGTTTATAGCATCTAGTTCTCAGAGTTGTGAGAAGGAAGCAGAATAATCCAAATGGGATAGCAACAGCTGTACCTCAGCTGGGGTGTTCTCAGTGCATGATTTGTGGGGTTACAGGGCTTCAATGTGTCGGTGGGATCTTTCACCTAGTCTTTGCGATTCCCCAAGCCCTTTCACAAAAGCTTGTTCAGTCAGTCAGTGAGTTGCCCCGAGGATCACGATACTTTTAAGGTATTCCGTGCCCTCTGCACACAGGGATGTTCTTGGACCGATTCTGTTTGTTCCTGGGTACTTCCTAGTTAGTCCTCCTTTCTGTTTGTTCCTAGATACTTCCTAGTTAGCCCTTTTTTCTTCCTCTGGTCTTATCAAAATAACTATCCCCACCGTCCTCAAAACAGCAACCCAAGTCATGGGAAAATCATTTGATACTAACAAGAAGCCCTGTCACCTTCTTCCTTGTCCTATACCGTGAATCTTATCTTGTGATGTAACTTTCAGTTTTCTGGGTGACTGCTGTGCTTGCTGGTGTGCTTGCGGACCCCTTGGCTGCTGTGCCCTTTGCCTTCTGAAGACACCCTGTGCTTAGTGTTATTTCACTCTGCGAGTTCTGCTACATGCCTGAACACAAAGATGAGAAGACAAGATGAGACCCAAGGAGCTCTGGCTAGGACAAGCAGGGAGCAGCATTTCAGGCAGAGAGGCATGAAGCTAGGGACCTCCAGATGGCTGGGCATGCTGCTGGAGTGTAAGGAGAAACCAGGTGCTGTAGAAGCCAAAACAGCAAAGGAGGAGTTGGACTTGTCTCTGTAAATGACAGGAATCACTGGTGCACTTAAAAGTGACATGTTCCACTGCGTCCTTTGATAAGAACAATCTTATTGCCGCACGAGAACAGGGAAGGCGTGCGAGCTGGAGGGCTGGGTAGCTGAATGTCTGAGAGGATGGGAAGTGGGTGGAAAGTCATGAACTGAAGTCCCCCAGACATACATACATGAAAAGCTAACTGATGTCTCTCTGAGGTTGAGACAGTGAGCGATTGTACCTCCCCCAACTATGTTTTCTAATTTCTCTTTCATAAGCATTTTCTGTTTTCTCTGTAATTAGCGTGTAGTATTTATATAGTAAAATAGTTTCTGCCGGTCTATTGATAGTTGAACATGAAGCTAGCAGGGTTTGGAATCTGGTTGGCTGGGGAGTCTGGGGATAGTTGAGCATGAAGCTAGCAGGATTTGGAATCTGGTTGGCTGGGAGTCTGGGGATAGTTGAGCATGAAGCTAGCAGGATTTGGAATCTGGTTGCCTGGGGAGTCTGGGGAATGCACTCCTGGGCTGAAGCTCAAGTGGGTGGTATGTTCACCAGAGAGGTAGGGGTGCAAAGAACAGAGCACATAACTCTTGGCAGTGTTGATGGCTGAGTGAAACACATGGGTTGCCATGGCTTCCAGATGGTGTCTTCCTCGTGGTGCTTCATAGTTCCTGAAGTCACCTGTCCATGCTGCGCCAACCGGACAACTGACTCCACTACTGTAGAACCAGCCCTGTGGTGCAGCCGCTCAGAGAACACGCTTCTGCTGTCAGCCAGTATTTACCTAGTGCCCCGGGGATGCGCTTCACAGGCAGGCCTTGCTGATGAAAAGAACAGGCATGGTCTATCTTCACAGAATGCCACCTAAGTGGAAAGACAGATGTAAATGTTTTAAATCCCTTTAACTCACATAGCATTCACAACATACAGTTCACATGGAATGTTCCGAAGGAACGCAGATGATTCTAAGAGGGCGTATATCAGAGGAAATGGCTCTGATGAGGGGTTTGGAGGATTCTTGGGGAGGGAGCTGGAGAACAGGTGCCAGGGAAAATTCAGATAAGGCATTCTGAGGGGAGGGAATGGTCCCTGTATCTGTGCTGTGGGGTGGCGCTACAGCTGCACCATCCTTAACGGTGCTGTGTCTGAGAACTGCACACTAGGGGTTCCCATCGTCCAGTGAATGTCCTGCAGGGCACTTGCACACATCTCATTAGTACAGGTCAGTTGCTGGGGGTGGCCTCTGGGTACAGAGATGGAACAAGTACAAGATGCTGTCCTTACTACTGTCACCACACCGTTTTATCATGAGCATTCAAAAATACTTAAACACATCATTTCACTTATTTGTGAATTGCTTGTCTATGCATATGTGTGTGTGTGCGCACGTGTGTGCATGCATGCACACGTCCTGCAGCACACATGTGGAGGTCAGAGGACAACTTGTGAGTGTCAGTTCTCTTTCTGCCATGTGACTCCCAGGAATCAAACTCTTGACAGTCCAGTAAATGCATTAGGAAGTCGCTCAGCCATCTACTGTCATCTTAAATATTACTCACCGTCCATAACTGCGCGTGTCACATCTTGATTGTCGTAGGAAGCACCACAATCGTGTGAGGGATGCATGTCTTGGTCAGTGTTCTGACAGTCATAACGCCGGGAAGCAATAGGCACTTCTAGCTCCATTTTTATCCTCGGGTACCACATGTTCTGCGACATGTGGCTGAGGAGTCTTTAAATCTAAGAGAAATGCTATTTGTCTGAAACCCAGAGAATGGGACAGGGCAGAGGTGGGTAGTGAACCCTGCAGTGCCTTCGGATCTCTAGGAAATCTGGCCTTCCTCCTGAGAGGCACTGAAGGTTCCAGAGTGGCTTTTTATGTGACCTGTCTGGCTTCCGCCCAGCGCGAATCTCCTTCTATGTCTGTTGCCCGTCTGTTTCTTGGTGCTTGGAGGCTGGTGCTGGAGACCTGATATCTCCCTGGTGGCCTAGCAGCCAAGATGGGGTTCTTCGCTCCTGTGGGGAGCACTTAGAAGACTCCTCAGCGCCCATCAGCTTCTCCTGGAAGTTGCTTTGCGACTCGGCTTTCTTCATGGCTTGGCAGACTTTAATGCTAATGTGTGTACGACTTGCTAATTAATGGAATCGTTTGGATCTAATGGGAGCCTATGAAGCGCTCACGTTAATTCTCAGGTAAAATTATTCTAGCTTTCTTTTTTATTTTATTTTTTCCTTTTCCTCAGCTTGGCTTCATATCTGGGGAGAGTTCTTCTAATTAGTCTTGTGGAAATCACTGGCTGCAGCTCAGAACTGTAGTGACAGCTTAGGAACTTGAGAAATGTGGCCAGCTGTGGTTATCCAGGGTTACTGGCCACAGCAATGCCGAAGAACAGTACAGAAAGACCTTGGTGTCTGAGAGGACCGGGGAAGATGGCAAGTCCGATGAAGATGCTATCAACGTGTCAACCCCGTGTGGGACTTGCATGGGCTTTGCTCTCCTCTGGGTGCGGCAGGCACCCTCAGAGCAATGCTCTCAGTGTGCTTGCTGTCCATAGAAAGTGCTCAGGGACTGCCACAAGCTTCAGAGTAACTTGTGACTGTCACCTCGTTGTCCTGTCACAGCCCCTTCCAGGTAGCATTCCTAGTGAGCATCCTTGATGCAGCCACTACATGCCCATCCCTCTGCCCTGCCGACTCTGTGGCGGCCTGATGAGTGTTCTCTGCGGGACTGTCCATTCACTCCTCTTCCTCCCAGTGGTGTCTGGGGACTTTTAGTTTATTTTTCTTGATAATACGTACAGGACAAAGTTTGCTGTGTTAACTTCTTTTGCGAGTGTGGCCCAGGGGCACTCTGTGTATTTGCGCCAGTTTATCTGATCTGCAGAACTTTCCTTGTCCCCAAACTGAAACCCCATGTAGTTAAATAAGAAGTCCCTTCCGGTGGAGCTTTTGAGTGTGATGTTCAGGTGATGTTTCCCCTGGTAGAACTGTGGACTATGCAGTGGTCCCCTTATTTACCACTAGGAAGGTACCGTTAGGGATACACCATTGGCCCTGATACAGTGGTTCTCAGCTGTATCCTGCTGGTGAGATAGTTTCTTCACTAAAAATCAAAGCCTCCTGGATTCCTCCCCATCAGGCTGATCTGTGTTTGAGAGCAGGTGCGCTGATGATCGGTTCTAGTAATCCACCACCGAGAAACCCGGGAGATGACTAAGTCCTGTGTGGCTGTGGGTAGTCACAGTGAGTTCTCATTGTGCCAAGCTCCAGGAGAAAACACACTGTCTCAGAGACGGGCTATTTAAAATCTTAATAGCTACAGATGAAAACAACATGTTCTCCCCCTTGGAAGTACAGCATCTGCTGATCCTTCTATTTGGATGTGCCTCCAGGACAGAGTTGGCATCAAGCCAACCTGAATTTAGATTCTTGCCCTTTCGTTCATGGGCTGTGACCTCGAGACTCGACTCCTGGCTCCCACTCGAGCTGTTGAGGAGATTGCAGGAGGTCGTGTTAGCGTGGTACCTTAGGCAGCATTGGCTCAAATGGGGAGGTGGCGGTTGTGTTGCTGCTATTGATGATTTTGTTGCACAGGTCTCCAGGTGGTCCTGAACTCCATCATCAAGGCCATGGTGCCTCTGCTGCACATTGCCCTCCTTGTGCTGTTCGTCATCATCATTTATGCCATCATCGGCCTGGAACTCTTCATGGGGAAGATGCACAAGACTTGCTACAACCAGGAAGGCATAACAGGTAAGAGGGGGGCTCGCTCTGGGAAGCGGGTACCCGGGAGGAGGTTGCTCTCTCTCCTTATAGCTGCTTCCCTTGGAGCGAATTGCTGCAGCCGCCTGTGCCACGGAGCTGGATGAGGCATCCAGTTTCCCATACGATGAAAGGCCGGGGTTGGCATTCTTCCCTCTCATTTCTAATCTCTGCTTTCACTACTGCAGATCTCTGTTCAAACAGCAGGTGTAAGCTTTGACCAGCACTTTGATACACCGAGAAAAGGATCAACCCAATTGGAGAAGCAGTTAACGATTAAGCACCCACCTTTCACCGGTTTCTCACTCTTGAGGCAGATTCTGAGCATGTGAGCTTCACTGTGAATTGATGGGCATGAATATCCAGCAGTACACCAATGTGGTTCAGCATCCAAGCCCTTCGGGGAGTCTTCGCCACCAATTCCCATCACCACCCATCTCTCTACCCTCCTAGAGCTGGCCCTGGCTCCTCTGCAGCTACTATTTTTTCTCCATTTAAAGGCAGAAACCCCAGGGCCCCTCCCTATCCCAGACTGGGTGAAGAGCCTGCCAGACTAGGGGAAGAGGCTGCCATTGAACACCCCGTTGCCACCAGTGAAATCTGTATTCCCCATGGAAAAGGTTCAGCTCTGTATCACAACCATCAATCCTGCCTTTCTGAGCCTCCCCTCTTTGTGTTCCTTCCATAAATCATCGGATTATCAGGCACTGCTGGCTCATTAGGCACCGTGTTAAGTGGCACCAGAGTGTTGGCTTGCTGGATACGCTATAGACTGCTCTCTAAAGTAACTAACGTCTTAACCTGGTCTTCAGCAGAATTGAATAGGAGGCTAGGGAGATGGCTCAGTGGTGAAGAGCACCGAGTCCTCCAAAAGACCCGGGTTCAATTCCCAGCATCCACATGGTGGCTCACAACCTTCTATAACTCCCGTTCCTGGGAGGCCATACACCCTCTTCTGCTTCTGAGGGCACCAGGCACACTGATCATACACAGACATACATATAGCTACACATGTATGTGTTTACAGCACACCTTTGATTCCAAAGCTATTAGCTGTTACATTATTTCATTTTTCATTTGGACATTATGTAGGAAAAGGGAGAGCACATGTCTGGTGCATGTGCTCTGGTAATGTCAGTGGTGCCCTTCCTCTGTGTCCTGTCCCTCCCATCTAGCCCAAGCTGCAAGTTAGGACCGGTGATGGCACCAGTCTGTATGACAGAAATGCGAAGCTCGCACCCAGGAACCGACGATACTACCTAGGATGCAAAGGGTCTTGTGACTAGGTAGACTAGCCAGGTGTCTTCAAGGCTGCTCAGTCATCACGAGGTCACAGCAAGACAAATCACATCTATAAATCTATATTTACAGAATTATCTTATTTTAGTTTAAAAAGAGATTAGGTTCTTTGTAAGATAAATTATTCACTCTCAAGAGAAATTCAGAATTATTTGACTTGTAATACTGTGAAATTGGTGACAACTTAAAATGTTAGCTGATATATAATTTTTAATTGGAAGACCAAGTTCCTGCATTCTGCTAAAATTCTGGGACATTACACCTCGCTTGAAGAATACCAGCCAACATAATGATTGGTGTCTCATTTTAATTCAGATCCTTCCCCTTTCTCTGTTGATCTGTAGCTAACCCCAAACCAGTAACTTACCTAACCGATCTGTAGCTAATTCTGAACTAGTAACCTATGTTAATGGTGCAGCTTGCGTCATGAGAAAATTGATGCAGATACACTATGACATCAATGGTCCACTGGACCCACACTCACCAGGCTCTCCCAGAGCTACAGAATCCCAGTGATTCCCCATAAATTTGGCAGTGACTGATGGTAGGACACTCACCAAAGAAATAGGGAGAAATCCTGTCAGAGAGCCGGAGACAGCGACTGGAGCATGCCTTCAGACACTGATGTGGTGCACCACGGAGCCCTGGGGAGCTGCTTAAAACCTTCAGCCATCTCTGTCATCTTAAAAAAAAAAGATGGCAAAAGTATGTCTTCTCCTGCTGGTGAGGGTCCTGCCAGGCTGTGAGCAAAATGCAGCCTTGAATAATTGTTGCGATCATGGGGTTTGTTACCAGGCCTCTCCGATGACAGGAAAATGATGAGCTTCAGAGTCAAAGGAAACCAAACAGCACCCTCTTTCTCGGGCACAGCCGGAAGTTCTGTGGAAAGCCATCTCCAGGACCAAAGACATTCTTTGTCTGCCCTTAGAAAGAAGATCATACTGGGCTTCAACTTTTGAAGGGGTCAACTTTAGGTCATCCTGGCCTTGATAGTTCACAGGATCAGAAAATTCATCTGAACCACCTCCTGCATCCTTCAACAACACTCGTGACATCATTTTGTGATGGGTTTAACCCCCGTTCAGCCACTTCAGAAGCCAGTTAGCCTCCTGGGTGAAACCCTAATGAGCCAGGATGTCAGGGCAATGAGAGGAATGTCCCTCAGAAAGGTGACATGAGGCTCCAGTAGGAGCCAGAGCCACTATTGGGAAAGAGGCCAAAGATTCCTGGCTGCAACAACTTTACTTTCAGAATAAAGCAGGTGAATTTGCCCCCTTCCTTCCTCTTCACACTGCCCACAGCACAGACTCTTGTTTCCCAAAGAAACAAACAAGCAAACAAGGAGCCAGCATTAGTGTTTATAGAACCTTTGGAATGTTTTGTTTGCTTGGCTTTTTGTTTGGTTTATTGTTGCTTTTGTTGTTGTTTTTTAAATTTTTAGATTAAAATAACATACTTTCAGCAATATTTAGATTTTACAAAAGGCTTTTAATGAGTCTTTGTTACAATTTTAATGGAATATATGTGTATATTTATATTTCCTTTTAAACTGATATTATTTCACAGACTGAATTTCACATTCTTCTAAATTTTTTAAGCCATGTTTCTTGTGGGGTCCCTGCAAGGAAGCTTTTGAGCCTTCCAAGGAGCTATTGTTCCACCTTGAGGCTTCTCTTTCTGTGTCTAGTGTCCAATGGTGATGTTCTCAGAAGAGGCTATTTTCTCCCAATCTCTCCAGCAACTGTAAGGCGCCCTCCTGGTTGCTCAGCAGATATGTTGCCATATGCCAATACCTTTTGTTTCTGGTGTCCCATCTGTCCAGAGGATCTGGAGCCAGGGCACTCGGTAGCTCTGCTCGGTACGATAATTACCCCTGAGACTGGCACGGAATTTGTTGGCTAAACCTTGCAATGAAATCACTACCATTCTATTTTGTCCTTCAAGTTGAGACCTAAAAAATGTAATTGCTGTTGTCTTGGTGGTTTTTCCTTGGGACATGGCCAAAAGCTCCCTCAGGATTCCATTCTTGCTGAAGTTTTCTAAAACCTCCTTTATTTTACCAGAGACTTACTTTGGTCTTTCCACACTGACGACTCTCTTCAATTCTGTTGTGAAATGTATAGCCCACATGGCTTTATTTCTCCTGTTTTTCTATCCAGGACCTCATGACAGACTCTGCAGCTCGTCCTATGGTTAAGCTTACCTCCCTCACCCCAGCGCGTATGTCACTAGGACCTGCTGATCTGTGTGTTCACATTTTTCAAGTGTTCCTTTTTATAGATACCTATTTTTACTGGATCATCATTGCTTCTTAATTGTTCTGCGATTTTTTTATTGTTCAGGGAAGACTTAAAATAGCACAGTAGCCCTTGCGCCTGTGGATGATCGTCCCAAGGCCCATTCCGTTCCTCCCTCTAGCTGTGAGATCTCTGCCCCTCGGTGCCATTTTCTTCTAACATATATTTGTAAATTCAGCAGATCTGTTTTCCTCCCCGTGAACACTCAGAGCTGGCTTGGGCAGTACCCTGCCCCCGTCCTTTCCCTGTTTCTCCTGTTTTAGGAACTGAAAATCCAGGGTAGACCATCAGCCTAGGAGCCACATTATGAATAGGCAGCCGGCATCTTTATGCAACAAATAAACACAAGCAAAATAGAAGTTTCCCTTTCTCTTTCCACTGCCTCTTTGTCCCCGCTGACACGAGGAAGCTGGTTCCAGAATAAGAATGAAATTAATGATCTATTTGGTTCTTGGTTTCCCCATTTTTCAACTCTCATTTTTTAGGTGCTTGGCTTTGCTATTTTTAACATATTATTTAGGTTTGAAAAATAACTTTCATGTTTCTACTTCCAACAGCCCTAAATCCACATCTCTCAAGATTTGACAATCTTAAGGCCATAAAAAGTTGTAACTAGAGGTAATTCCATTCAGTTTCCTTAATGTGTAGCCTCTGAAAGCCAGGCGGTGGATAAGGAAACGGTTTGGACACTTGATACCCTCAGACAGCTCAGAGATCAGTAATGTAGACCTTTCCGCCTTGGTCCAGGACTATAGCATGAGGCAGAGAATAAGGCAGGAAGCAGCTTTATTCTGAATGGCCCAAGCCTGGGAGTGTGCCAGATGCCCATCATCTGGAGAACGCATGCGGTGGAACACGCTGCTCAACGATACCGAGGAACAGGCGAGACTGGAATGCAGTGGCGTGGTTCAGCTCAGAAGCCCTGTGCTGCAGAGGGATGCGGGGTACAAACAGCCTCTGCAGGTGTTGTTTTATGTATAGGAAAGCGAGCTGTGAAGATGGAAAACCAATCGGCTTGTTTGGAGTCGGTAGAAACAAGAATGGACTACAATCAAGGACATGGAGTGATAGGTGCCACTGCTGTCCCCAGGAAGATACTGGCACACCATTTGAACCTCAGCACCCACCTCCATTCTCCTAAGAATCCTCTCACAGTTAAGGGTTAACATTTCTCTGCCCCCCTTTTACATGAGAGTAAACAGTTTCAATTAGAAGCCACAGACACCAACAGCCATCCAGCCCGTCATCTTCCATAAAGAGCCTGTATCCCATGGGCAAAATAGTCACACTGTGATGGTTTGGATCCTTATAGAAGAAGCGACGATTCTGGGTATCTTATTATCCCTAAATGAAGAACTCAGGCAAATTCTGTCTCTGGGGTTGCATTTTCCCCATTGTCAGAGGCAATTGTTTGTTCAAGCTCAGGTCTTCTCTTTGTTATTGCCTTTACTTTCTGTCGCTGCAAGATGAAACCCTCAGTTTCACAAGCTCCGAATTCCTAACCTTGTCTTCTGTTTTCCAGAACAGCTCAGCCTTGAAATGGAGACATCATTATCACTTTTGATCGGACACTTGGACATGATACCATGCTATGACAGAACAGACAATACATGTAGTGTCTGTGCAGTCAATTGTGGTTAAAATGCAGTGTTCACAACACTTGGGGGAAAGTACTTACCTATGTCATTGTGCCCCTGAAATGAATGTCTGGGCTCATGTGTTTTTAATCCCCACGTGAGGGCACCGAGCAAAATGGATGCGATCGCTACTAAGGTTACCCATAAGCCTTATCCTGTTATCTAACTTCTGTTCTCCATTCTCTGCCCATCATTGCCCCTCCTTCCCTTCTCCTTCCATCTCATATTTCCTTGGCGGTGGAGATGTTCCAGCGGAAGAGGACCCTTCCCCTTGTGCTCTGGAGACAGGCCATGGGCGGCAGTGTCAGAACGGGACCGTGTGCAGGCCCGGGTGGGACGGGCCCAAGCATGGCATCACCAACTTCGACAACTTCGCCTTCGCCATGCTGACGGTGTTCCAGTGCATCACCATGGAGGGCTGGACTGATGTGCTGTACTGGGTACGGAGATGGGGCCCCTAGAGGGTGGATATGTGGAAGAAGGCCTGTCTGGACATCTCATCTTCCTACCCTCAGCTTACAGGTGCATGCGTGACCCCACACACGCACCCACAAGCTGAGGGGTGATTGATGAATGGCTTTGATTTGTTCCAGTGCTTTCCTGAGAAACAAAGCATAGCATGTCCACTTTTGGAAGGGTTGCCCAACTACCAGCCTTAGCGAGGGTCATTTCTAGCTGCCGGACATGGTCTGGGCCGCTAGTGCGCTGCTGATGCTATGCCGATGAACTGGGCTACACCTGGCTAAGGACTCTATCCAGCTCCTCTTCCTGCTCTGTAATCCCTTCTGCTTTTAACCTCCACTTGTCTCTTACCTAAAAGGGAGCTGCAGGCGGACGTCTCAGAGAAAAGTCAGGTCTGATCTAAAAGGAAACACCATAAAGAAAACTGACATTTTATTGATTTGTATTGCCTTGTGGCATGCTACTTGTTTTGATTCTCATGTTAGTTTTAACATATTAAACCTCTCCATCAAAGTCCTTCTCGCTGTCAGCCAGAAACTGCTCAGTGTACAGTGCACGTTTAGAAACACACATTCTGAGTGCCAACCCATCCTGAGTATATCTCCTTTAACTTTAAAAATGCCCCTCATAAGGCCTAGCTAGCCATGCCTGCTTTGCCCCCCCCCCTTTGAGTCCTTGGAGAGCCCGTAAATACACATGCCATATTTGAGCTGTCTTCATTCTGGCAGAATGGAGTCCATTATTTGTTTAGAAAAAAATACAGAAAATATCTTTGTGGTGCTTTCCACTTCAGCATGAGAGATGATTTGCCAGAATCCAGTGTTGCTTTTCGGAATTTGGGTGAATACAGTGTGTTGCCAATCTTGAAAATAACATCCTTCTCAAGTTTCTCAGATAGTCAAATCCATGTAGCCCTGGTGAAAACATCTAAGCGGCTGCATCCTCCTGTCTGCAAACTAGAGCAAGGAGAGGGAGGGGGAAGCAACAGAATGTCCCGTGTTCGCTAGCCAGAAAGACAAGCAAGGCCAATAAAAGTGCTGACTTCTCCTAGAATCCGAGGCAATCTTGTAGCTGCGCGGAGATGTAGCTTCCCGCTGCTTCCACGTGCACCCTCTCCTGTAAACCCCAAGCCCTCCTCTTCCCAGCCTCGACATCACTGTTAGCATGCCAGAGGCCAGAGTTGCTGTGAAGTGTGTACCTCTCTTGAAGTGATTATTTACAGCTTGCCTGCACCGTGTTCCCACCAAACGAGTGTCCTTGTGAGCCAGGGTGCTCTAGGCACCGAGGATTTGGGAATGAAAAAGATCCAATTCGGCCAAAGAAGCTCAGTCTATAGAATATCGAGATTCTGAGCTGAGTACCGCAGAAACCTGTGCAGTGGGCTGTTTTGACATGCTGTCCGCAGACAACACTGGTTGTCATCTGCGTCTACCTCAAACTAAAATGAAACACTGGGAGACATTTTCAGCCTTGGCCTCAATAAGAACCTGGTTTTTTGTTTTTTGGTTTTTTTTATAACTTGAAAGACAATGAAATGGAGGTTGGGTTTTCTATAGTTAGGCAAATTCTTCCACTTCGTAGAGCAGGTCAGCTTCCCAAGTGGCCCTAACTCTCCCCTCTGTTTTTCACAAAGGACCTTTTATTTCCTGTCTGGATGAGCCATGGACAGAAAGGTCTCTTTGCAGATTTCCACCTGTGGGCCACAGACCCCATAACTGTATGGTCCTGGGCTCCAGCATCTTATCATGGGAGTCTCAGCCCGTGCCTTCAGCCGCTGTCAGAAAGCTGGCTGGTGCATCAGATTGGGGACAGGTGCAGGCAGGGGGCATAAATATAGTTTACTTTGCTGATGGCCCTGGTGTGCTTTTCTGCTAGTCACTGATACCCTACCAGCCAGATGTGACCCTAAGATGCTGTCATAGTGACAGCCGGAGTGGGGCCTGAAGACGCACACAGCAGTAAGTACCAATTTCCAGCAGCTGTGTTGTCTTTTCTCCCCCCGGGGGTATGAGGGAGCTCAGGCCGAGGGCAGGAAACCTGTCAGAGGTGAGAGAGCACCAGGGTCTGGGAATGACTCTCATTCTGACATTCCCGGCACCTTTCCAAAACAATCAGGTTATGACTATGTCCACGTGTGCACATGAGAGTTGCGTGTGCCCGTGAGCATGCACACATATGTTGAGACTGTGTTCCCTGGTGGGTATTCATGATAGAGGCTCCTCCTCGCTCAGCGCTCCTGCTCTCAGACAATTCCTCTAATGACTTTGACCTTTCTATGGCCGTTTCATTTTCTATTCTCTTTCTCTCTCCTCCCTTCTTCCCCTTAGGCAGTTCTCCTCCTCAGCTCTAGGTTTGTGTCACTAACCCGGAGACTCAAATCTCAGCATGTTTTAGCATCAAAAGTAGTGCTTCCTAAATATAAAAGTCCTCAGAGCTGCCCCCACTAGTCCCCATTAGTGTCTGAAGAGGAAGTTGTCCATACTGTGATGATGCACCTTTGAGTTTGAAGCCCTTAGAAATAGGACCAGCTGAATCTCCATAGTGCTCCTAGGAGACTGCTGGGTTAGAACCAGACCAGAGATAGTTCCCAGGGAATGTGGGGTGTGAGTCTTCCGCTCAGGACACATTTCCCTTCAAGCGTAAAGTACAAGTCTAGAGAGCCCTGAAAGGGTCAGTGAAGACCCCCGTGTGTAACAATGAATGGAGCCCCCAGAGCTGGGTTCATTTTAAACACCCAGTCAGCTCAAGAGACATTTCTAGGGGAAAGAAACTAGATCAAAACTCAAGATCCCATATAGTTTTTTTAGGAAATAGCTTTTTAAACCAAAGTTTCTCCATCTACTCCCAGGATGCCCAAGTTTTTTCTAAAGAACCAAAAGAAGGAAGAGTCTAGAGTCAAGCACCATTTCCATTCTCTTGTCTTTTTTCAAATGTGGGATTTTTTTTTTAACCTTTGAACCAAATAGCTGCTCAACTGAGAGAATCTGCTACCAACCAGTATGCTGGGGATTATAAACACAGTATCCAAGAGAGTTAGCGTCTCCCAAAGCCCCTGTCGACTTGCTCAGTTAGTCTCCATCCATCCAGCCATCCATCCATCCATCCATTTCACTCAGTTCACCAGTGTTAGACGAATTCTTACAGATCAATAATTCAGTTTAACTCATATTTATTGAGCATTCCTTATGTTCCCAGAAGCAGGGACAGAGAAGAGTAAGACCTGCCTTCCAGGAGTTCAGAATATAAGGCATGCAGGATTCAGAAAGAAGGAAGACTCCCTGATAGAATGGCAAGGCTGTGAAGGAGGTAGACCACTCTGAGGGTCCTGAGGCTGGACAAGGAACCAGAGAACAGATGCCCATACTTTGGGAAAACATCATTGGTCGCTTTGGATATTGAACTAAAGTGTGCTTTAGTGTCTTAGCAAGCCCAGGAAATCACTGTGGCACCCAGAGTGTCCTTCCTCATAGTGTCTGGTGGCTGTGGGATGTAGATTTAGGCATCATTGAGGACGATACACTGCTGGCAGCCTTTCCATCTGTAAGTCAGTGGTTCCCAACATGGTGCTCAGACTAGGATATCACTCTTCTCTGCTCATACGCTCCCCACAAGGTCAGGACACTAGTCCATTGCTTTCAGAGGTTGTTTGAACACATGCAGATGGTTTGCTGTCTAACCTGGTGTTGGGATCTGTTGTTTTTTTCCTACCTAGATGAGGCTCTTAACTGTTTCGGCTGCCTGGGGAGTTTTCCTCAAAGAATGAGTCAGTGCCCAGGGCTGGGGCAGTATTCAGCTTGCTCCTTACTCTGTGACCTGTGCAATGGACACTCATGTTCCAGGCAGCATAGGTCATCAAGTGCAGCCACGCACTGAGCTATTGCCTTGAAGACATGCACGGACACCAGAAACACGGAGCGGAAAGCACTGTGGCTTTTCTGACTGGCACGTCCTCTTGGACAGAAAATGACCTCTCTTGGTACTTGTGGAAACCTTCTAGTGTTTAGATCCATAGGGCTTGTCCTGAGGAGGAGGTACACATGATGTGGAAATTAACTTGGATCAGAGAGGCCTTGGGAAGTTCACGGTGGAGGTATTGCCTACCCTTACCCCCACATCCCCAAGGAAGAGATAGTGGGTGGTTTGAAGGTAGAAGGCAGAGGTCCTGTCACCCAGTTAGATGCTAGGGTCAGAAAAGTCTTTGGTATTTTCCTTGTAGTATTCCCTTTGTTGGGTCTGGCTCGAATAAAAAGCTCTGTCTCAGGTCTGGGGGGGTCCTGAAAACTGCCTGACTTTGGGCTCAAGGAGCCAGGCTGTCTCACCTTCTTTAGGAAAGCTACAGAGCTCCCGCTGTAACAGCCCCAAGACCTGTGCTGTGTGCCTCTCCAGATAACGGTGATAGCAAGCTGGGTCCCTTTTCGGTGTGAGTAGATCTGCTCCCAGATTGGAGACAATGACCGTGCCATTCCAGTGTCACCCCACTTAGGAGACGGCCACCAGTGTGTGCTCTCCAGCCAGTCAGCCTGACAGTATGTAACCTGGGATAAAGAGGGCAGCTGGGGGGTGCTTTCCACTGCAGTTCCTGATGAACTTGTCACGTGTGACCCTTAGGCTAATCAAGAACCCAAGGGAACCTCTAAGGCGAAAAGGGCTGTTTTGGGGGGAAAATCCAGAAGTCGGGCTAATGGCCTCCTCCAGCTTCCTTAGAGCAGGTTGGCAACACTGAACCTGGGTATGGGCTCCAGTGGGGGTGGGGGTGGCACACTGCAGGACAGTGCCCGAGCGCTGTGTCTGCTTGCCTGTTTTCTGGTGAGGATCTCTCATTGTCAGCAGCTTTTCCTGCTCACCCCACTCTCACTAAACATGACAGAAGCACTTAGAGGCAAAGGGACAGCCGCTTCTGGCCTGTGTTAACACAAAGTAATGGGGAAAACCACAAAACAATGCTCATTGCCCCAGACCCAGGTTACCCCTAGAACCCCTCTCTTGGCAGGTGCCTAGCACCCCAGCTGGGGTTGCTCTCCACACAGTTCCTTTACTACACCCTCAAGTCCAGTGCACCCTCTTCTTGCACATCCCACAGCAAGCACTTGGTGAATGCAGACACCAGACTCCTGCGCAGGTCCCATGTTACAGGGGCGTGTGCAGGCCCTGGCATGGTGAAGCCTAGTGGCTGGGTACATGGCTCCCTTGCTTGCCCTTCCCTCCCTGGTACTCTTTCATTTCTCCTGCATTTCTCCTGCTTGTCTTGACTGCTTTGCCTTCCTCTTCCCAGCATGAAGACATACTTCTAGTGCCCCGTTCTGGTTTCCTTTGCACTCCTAGCTCAGCAGATTATGACTGGTTAAGGAAGGGCCCTGGGAACAGCACCCATCTAAAGATGACTGCCCCGCCTCTGCTAGCCACCACTGCCCCTTACCTGGATACTTCACTCTGCTTTGCAACTATTCCACGACCAGGAAGGCTTTAACAGCTGTGTTCATCATTCTGACAATGACCATTCCTGGGGCGGGGGAGGGGATACCTATTGTTATCACAGGGTCATTTGGACCCCGGACTTCCTTCCTGCTACACCTCTCCCTCTGCTGTCAGTGATGCCTCCATGCAAAGTCCACGCAGCTCTGCCTGACCTGGCCCCATCCAGCTGTCTTCTCTACTTCCTGCCTTCCACTTCTTATTTTCCCTACAATTGCATCTCCCACCCTTTGCTTATCATTGCTTTTTATGCCTATGCTCCCTGCAGTTAAGGACTTCGTATTTACAGTATAAAACCTAGCAGGTCTTATGTTCATGAATCCCGCTCAAACATTCCCTGAGTACCTATCAAACACAAAGCCCTACTCCTGACACTTGGGATTCTCCAGTGACTTAAACAAACCAAGGCCACCTGTGCTCATAAAACCGACACTCTAGCCAGACATCGAATACCCAGTGTGACACGTAAGGAGCCCACACAGCCGTAAAGTGATAAATGCTGTGGAAAAACTAGAGCAAGGCGTGTGGGAACGGGGATGCTCAACAGATTGTTAAATTGGATTTCACTGCGACGTGGACGTGTGTGGGAACTCTTCCTCACTGACTCAGCTCAAGCCAGTGAGCCACAGGCACTTTTTTTTTACACAATATCTCTCACCATAAAACAGCAAGCTGTTTGGAGCAGGCAGGTCTGAGTGCCTCTCCATCTTTAGTCCTATCACACCGAGAACAGTGCATCTATAACTCAATTCAGGCCCCACGGTAGAAATCAAATTGAGGCAGCAGTTATCAGATTTTCCTATCCTTAGGAAGATCACTTGGGATGACCATGACTGCAGTCATAATGCAGATGTACTAACTGTACTGAGCTCCTAGGCCACACAACAAGACCCATAAATCTACTGTCGTTGAGCCCAGTGTAGTGGAGATACACAATTATGTAGTGTCGTAGGGCCCAGGGTAGTGGAGATACACAATTATGTAGTGTCATAGGACCCAGTGTAGAGGAGATACACAATTATGTAGTGTTGTAGGGCCCAGGGTAGTGGAGATACACAATTATGTAGTGTCGTAGGGCCCAGGGTAGTGGAGATACACAATTATGTAGTGTCGTAGGGCCCAGGGTAGTGGAGATACACAATTATGTAGTGTCATAGGACCCAGTGTAGAGGAGATACACAATTATGTAGTGTCGTAGGGCCCAGGGTAGTGGAGATGCACAATTATGTAGTGTCGTAGGGCCCAGTGTAGAGAAGATACGCAATTATGTAGTGTCGTAGGACCCAGTGTAGAGAAGATACACAATTATGTAGTGTCGTAGGACCCAGTGTAGTGGAGATACACAATTATGTAGTGTCGTAGGACCCAGTGTAGTGGAGATATGCAATTATGTAGTGTCATAGGACCCAGTGTAGAGAAGATACGCAATTATGTAGTGTCGTAGGACCCAGTGTAGAGAAGATACGCAATTATGTAGTGTCGTAGGACCCAGTGTAGAGAAGATACACAATTATGTAGTGTCGTAGGACCCAGTGCAGAGGAAATACACAAGTATGTCCTTCCATATGCAATTGGTAGCATGAAAACAATGGTATGGGTGAGGGGCCCACAAGCTCCGTCCTGTAGCCCACATCCAGTTAACCTGTAGTGCTTGGAAGAGCGGGCTGCCACCTCCAGAGCTCCAGGAAGATGGAGTGTGAGCACTTCTGAATGAGCACCTAATGGTGCTGGTACTGAAGGCCACCCTTCAAAAGCTGCTGATGGTAGTCAGTCGGGAATCTGGTACCTTAGAGTCTAGAGTTTATAAGCTGGGTTCACAAAAGACAACCTTGGGGCTCATTTTCAGTAAACCGGAAGTAACGCGTGTTTAATGCTCGGAAAACATCGGAAGAAATAGATTTGAGGATCTGAGGCAGAATATATGTCCTTTTTGATAGACACACTGTGACTTGTATTCGCGCTCCCTTCTGCCAGAAATTTAGGGGGCATCTGGCAACCACCTCTAGGAGCTGGAGGGAGAGGGTGGAAGTCAGCGGACAGGGAAGTCTGAAGAGGTTTCTCACAGCGAACCCCCACAGCCCAAAGGAGCCTGTTCTGTCTCCCATTGCCTCCGATTCCTGACAGCATTTGTGACTTGCCATGAAATGACTCCATCAGCCCATCAGTTGCAGCCTAGGTACCTCTTTCAACTAGGCTGTGGTGTCAGGGGCAAGGCCCCTTCTCCAACACGTAAGCCAGGGAGGGTACTGTTTGTGAAGCACCAAGGTTGCGCCCTCTAGGCTCCAGGAAAGACGATCACTTTCTTGTATGATGTAAGCTTCAGTCTCCAGCCCGGTCAATAAAGCTGGCCCTTTTCACAGCCATCTTTAGGGTACATCTTAAGATTTAATGGCCACAGAAGCCCAAATAAGCTAAGCCCATTCTAAAATGAAAAACAAATGTTTTGTGAGGTGACCCACCTTCAGGAAGAAAAAGCACTGGGGAACAATTTCTTTTCCAGAAGATAAACAGTAAGAAAAGTCAAGCAAGATCCCTCTACCTCTGGGACCCTGCACAGGTCCTTACAGCTCAGGCAAGATCCTCTCGCCATCCCCAGACCCTGCAGATCCTTCTAGCTCAGGCAAGATCCTCCCACCCCCCACCCCCTCCAAGACCCTGCAGGTCCTTATAGCTCAGGTCAAAGTTGTAGGGAAAGAATTTGAGTAGGGATGAAACCAAATATAATGGCAGATCCTGACCCTCTTACCGAAAGCCAGGGTCTGCCCTCTGCTTCCTGTGGGTCTGCTCACACTCCCTGCCTGTCTGTCTCGCCCTGTCCTTTGCTTGCTCTGTCCTAACTCTCCTTCATCTTTCCAGATGCAAGACGCTATGGGCTATGAGTTGCCCTGGGTGTATTTTGTCAGTCTGGTCATCTTTGGATCCTTTTTCGTTCTAAATCTGGTTCTCGGTGTTCTGAGCGGGTAAGCTGACCATTTCTGTGTCCTCTGTACAAGGCAGCCGAGCAAGGTCCCAGGTTCCACTGCGTTCAATGCAGAATCCTCAGAGACAGGACCCTAACAGGCCCAGGAAAACAGGAAAACAAAATTCTCCATGCAAGCACAGATTCTGACCATTGGCTGCATAGGCGGTTTGGCCTCTGAGTTGCACATTGAGGATCCCGGGTCCCACGCTGCTCAGATCAGCGCTGGGGAGCCGGTGGCTGGCACTTGGCCGTGCTCGGTTGCTGTGTGTGCCTGACTAACTATCATTCCATTCTTCCAGGTCAATGATGCTGTAGGAAGGGACTGGCCCTGGATCTATTTTGTTACACTAATCATCATAGGGTCCTTTTTTGTACTTAACTTGGTTCTCGGTGTTCTTAGCGGGTAAGCAGGACCAAGGAAATGGTCTTGATTTTTCCATTCATTTTTATTTATTCTTTCTGCTATTCCTGGCACTCTTCTGTTTCTGGCTCTGATGAACCTGGGAGAAAGGGTCACTCAGGAGCCTTGAAGTGAAGGTCTCTGGCCTGACTATGAAGAGGGTCAGATGCACAGGAGTTAACCCATTGGTATGGGTTGTGGGTCCTGGCGAAGAGACTCCCAGTCCCACCCCTATCCCAACATACACACCAACATCCCCAGCCCCAGTAGCTGCTCAGACAGTCAGCTGCTTCCCTTGTGTCCTGCTCACTCAAATGGAGGAGAAGCACAAACCCTTGAGAGGGGAGGACTTCACAGCAGGAATCTGTAAGAAGGTTCTCAAACACACACAACACTCACAGTGCCCTTGAAAATAAACACGGGCCTGATATCCTGAGCCAGTTATTATATGCAGGCAAACAATACAGACTTGAAATCACTTTTATTGAGTGAACAGGCCAGAGAAGGAAGTTTGGGTTTTGGCCCAGCATTGTCAAAAACAAGACCAGCCAAAACTCTGTGACTGTGTGTGTGTGTGTGTGTGTGTGTGTGAGAGAGAGAGAGAGAGAGAGAGAGAGAGAGAGAGAGAGAGAATTACATATATATGCAAACAAATACTAATTCTCATTTCAAGGCCAAGCAGCCCATCACTAATCTTTACCTTTCTGAATGCAAAAGAAATGGAACTGTGTAAAGCCACAGGTTGTTATGAGGTTATAAATGAGGCATAATTTTTCTTTAAATTATTAATTTAGCTAGATGGCCACACATAAACCTACCTGTTTTCAGCCCTTGCTAAGATGCAATTAGAAGTGAAAACAATGGCTCATGGCAGGGGTATCAAGTGACCCCAAGCATGGCCACCTTCTCATCAGAGAGACCTGGGGTGTTTCCTCAGCCACCTATTTTTCACTAGCTCATGTCAGCCATGCCAAGACCTGACACCTAAATGCTCCTGGTGACCCTCTGGCCCTCTAATAGGGGACCTTCCTACTGACTTTGTAGTAGGGGGAGGCAGCGGGCGATCTATTTCTGCTCTGCTTGGACAGGCCAGCTGCTTTCATAGTCTTCTCAGGCACCTAGGGACTTCCTGTTTTTGCAGACTGAGCAGTGAGTGCTCTGTCTCCCACCGGGGCCAGGGCATGGGGTTCATTCTAGAATGGAGTGAGGAACCTATTCCTTCCTTACCCTCCCATGGCCCTGGATGGCATCTTGCCTTCTGCTGAGGTGAGACCACATAGGAGAGCAAGGTGAGAGGGAGATGGAGTGGTATACAAGCTCCTAGTTAGCTGCCTGGAGGGGGCAGGGGGGCTCATTTTTCTCTTCCAACACAAGAAAATGGCCTGTTGTTTATACGTGAATCTCACAGACAGCATTGGAAAAAAAATCAAACTCATTATCCCCTTTGAAGACAGAAACTTGGCTAGTGTAGCTCTGTATTTGCTGGATGTATAATATCTGGCAACTTCGTCTTTTTAAACCTTCATTTCCCATGTCAAAAAAAAAAAGGAGATAACATCAACTCTTAGGTGGTTGTCACTGGAGAATGAACAGGGATGGCCATGTAGAATACTTAGCACGAGGACTAGTTTGTGGTCAGTGGCGGTGCTGAAACTGCAGTGGTTGCTTTGACTTCTATTTTAAAATGAGTAACATGAGCCAAGCGATGCCACTTTCCTGGCAGTCAGCAGACCTGGGCCTGGAGTCTTCGTTTGGCCCCTATTTTCTTATGCCTGCATTGAATGAGCCTAGTTTTAGCATAGTTCAGAGCTCTACGCCAAAAAAAAAAAAAAAAAATCATTTTCCTCCCTCAGATGTTAGGAACCAAATCTCAGCATGTAAAACTCCTCCAGGAATCCAATATGGAGAATGAGGACTAGATTCCAAAGGCTCCTTCTTCAGCTCACAGCCATTGCCACCTCCATCCCCAAAGGAATAACCAACCTGCTGGTGTCAAAGGAGCTGCTACTGCTGGTGCTGCTGAAGGCCTGGTTGCTTTGAAATTACAACTTGGTCTCATTTAGGTCAAATGGGATAGATGTGCAGAACCCACAATTCTGATGCTTACTTGTTTTCAGAACACTTGATTGACATGGGACAGGAATACAGAGGCACTTTTAACCTTTGTGTCTGTGATCCAGAGTTCAATTGGTCTGTTCGGGAACCTTCTGGTACCCGGCCATTCTCAAAGTTCCAGCATGCTTCTGGCAGCTCCAGAAGCATTCATGGACTCTTTTCCCAGCCAGGCAGGTGTCTATAAGCTACTGGCTACCCCTTCTGGATTTTTGTCAAGAGCTAGTTTCTCCAAATGTGTTGCCTCTAACCTGTACAGTGACAAACCTGGGAACAACCTCCTGTTGGTTGACCACACTGACGATAGTTTGAAGTTGGCATCTTGATTAATCCAGACAACAGTGTAATAATTAACAACAAATATGCAGAGGAACACCCGCTCATTCAACGATTAGACTTTAATTAAATCAACCTTCCAGAATATTCACAGTCTTAGAGCCCATGAACTGCACCATTCCAAGGACAGCACAAACAGTCTTCCCCACACTGTGCCAAGGTCTGTGCTCTGAACATTTCATATATTAAATTACTGAGTAACCTTGACAACTCCTTGACCTGGATGCTCTTCGTGTTTCCATTTCACAAAAGAAATGAATGAGGTTTAGATAAGGAAGCCACATCCCTTCTAATAATGGGGAAAATTCGAGGACAAAGTGTTAGGCCAGAACATTGTTGGTCCATAGTCTCTTCCTTTATTGTCCATGCTACTCCTGCCCTCCCCAGCTACAGGAGGAAGTAGGGTGCTAAAGGCCAGACACTAAAAAGGTAAACAGGTGAAGACGATCAAAGCAGAAACAGTCTACAGGCTTCTGCACACAGCCAGGGGACAGAAAAGGCCCAAGCTGAAAAATGCTACCTGGCTGGCCCAGATTGGAAGCTCTGTAGAACTTGATGGGCTCTGAGAGCCAAGGCAATTGTGACCGAAGGGTTGGGGTGTGAATCCTCTATCCGTCATTAGTAATCCTCTTTCACAGCCCAGTGAAGTAACTCACCTCATAAACTGTGTCCTTTAGCCAGCAAAGAAAGGCTAAAGTGTGCCCTGTGTGTTCCGCTCAGGATAAGGTTGGCATTCCAGATGGTTTTTATTATAAGGGTAGAAATCCCAAGATTTTGGTTACCTGAGGACTCTGCATCCTTTAGATGCAACCCTCACATATCCAGAAAGGCATCTTTCTAATGAGGCCACATAGTGTGAAGAGAACATTCGTCTCTTGGACTCATTTCAGAAATCTCCCGGGTTATGTAGTGACCCTCATATCCGCCCTATGCAAGGCACAGGACTGGCGTCAGGACAGGTAGTGACTGGATTAGAAACACACTCTCTTCCAGACATTGCAGCCCCCCAGCCTATTAGAACACAAACAACAGTGACAGTCAGGCTTTGGAAACTGCACTTGAAGCTGTGGGGAGGGGAGTGGAAGCCTGTTCTCTGAAATCTGGGCCTTCCCATGTGTCTGTACCAAGGATCTCTTACCTGAGTAACTGCCCCCATCCTTTTCCACATCAGGAGACAAGCTTGTCTCTTGCTTGAAAAAGCAGAGTCCCTGAAGGGTGGGAGAGTTACAGCCTGAAAGTATTCCTGGAATATGATGCCACTGTCAAGACAGAAGGCCCAAAGCGAGAAGGAGGCCAGCAGCGCTCTGATAGGAGCAAGAGAGGTGGCCACACAAAATTAGGTTCTCGCTGTTCAGTGGTTATGTTCCCTCAGCTCACGGTGGACAATGTACTAGTGAATACTGGATCGCCAATGCAAAGTACAGAGCTAGATTCCTGCTAGTGAGTATCTGGCTACGTTTGGCCACCCGTTAAAACATAGCCCTACATGTGTTTCTGTCCACGCCTTAGTAACCTATTCGTCAACATTAGACTCACAGCCATCGGCAGTGGAACTCGTGCCTGAATGGGCTCATCTAACACACATTTTCTCTGTAAGACATGTCACAGCCTTCTTGCTCATCAGAGCTGTGCTTGGGGCCTTTTCAACATTAAAATCTCTGATAAACAGCACAAAATACACAAACAGAGGCGATATGGCACTAAATAGACTGACCCTAAAGAAATTTGCTTACGTCATGACAACTGAATTAGGAAGAGCACCTTACCTTCTCTGACCTCAACAGGAAAGGTGTGACTCTTTTTTTTTTTTTTTGCTATTACATGCACATCTGCCGACACATGACTGAACATGCCATGAACATTGATTAGGGAGTTGTGAACAAACCTTAGCAAACCCAGAAATAGTCAAGTTGCTGTTATCTATTCAGTATTGATTTTCAAAGGGCCTCGTGGCCCATGTCATTAGAACCAACCACACACTGTTGTGTGTTTTACCGGACCGAGCACCGACCACCTCTCCTCCCATGTTTTATCTTGGCCATTTCTAGTGACAGATACATTCCTGCCTTGTCACAAATCCCACAGTAGTAACTGATGGTCTTGCTGGCTCTGGCCCCTCAGCTGGGCACAGCCTGTCAGGCTGGGGTTTCATGTCTTCATCAGCTCAGGCTCCAGAGCAGGCATATGGCCAGCATCCAGGAGAGGAAAGTGACAGGGGCTGTCACCAGTGCATCACCACCACGTGCAGCCTGGAGTTCCATGCAGCCACAATCTGACTGCCCGGATTTTGATAGTGCCTGCCCATGGTACTCTTAAAGCCCCAATGATGCCTTGCTGCTCGGGCCACATCTCTCTCCTTCCACCAGTGTGTCCTTCTTTTACAGGAGCAAAGCAGGCAAGTCTTGTGGAAACATGCAGCCACCCTGGTCCCCTTTGGTCCCTGTGGCTGTTTTTTTAGGTTTCCCGTGGCTCCAGAGGTGGAGACTATGAACTTCCACTCTGAGGGCAGATACTGTGAAATAGGACCAAGACCACTTCCTAACTTCAGCTGAATGTGACGCTTGTTCTTCCAAGGCTTTAAGAGGGATGATGGGCAACTTAAAAACCAGAGATGGAACGCTCTGAAGTCGTCCAGAACTAAAGGACTCCCTTAGTGATTTTACTCAAACCCACTTTAGGACAAATGGGCAAAGAAGAGCACATGGGCACAGCAGAAAGGTTTCAGGAGATGATCCTCTAGGTGCCAGGTTTTTAGTTTATTGTGTCTTTCCATGCGGAGGGGGTAGGCACTCTGAAACTGTTGTCTCTAGAGAGCGAGGTTAAGGTAAAGGAGATTTCAACATATGTAAGGCAAGAAGGGGCTGGCATCTTTCCATGACCACCCCAAAAGCAAAAGCAGGGCAAGCCAAGCCAAGCCAGATCCTACCTTCACCGTGATCTGTCAATCCAGCGCCTCTTCCCTGGCATACAACTTTCTGGGAAGGAAGTAAAAGTGCCCACTGGTTGGCAGGCAGCCCAAGAGATAGCAAATTCAATCCAATTATAATTGGAGTCAATCAGATTTGAGAAGAAAATTCAATCCGAAGCAGAGCCTTGTGAAGGAGGTAGTTAAGAAGATTCTTTAGCTCAAGAGCCCCCGATTCTCCTAATGAAAACCTTCCCAAGGCTCCTCCCAGGTCTCAACTCTGTTTCACCACAATGGCGAGAGTGCTAAAGCCCGAGCTCGGAAATACCAGGAATGGAATGTGAACACTAGGCAGGTGGCATGAGGTGACAGAGCCTCCCCTGTATGACACCGGGCTTCACTGAGCCTTTTGTCCCTTGAAGTTGTTGGTGACATTGTTACTTCCAAGGCGCCTTTCCTCTGTGGCACCGAGCTCTGTAGGCTGGGTCTCCTGCCGGTTGTCCTGAATCAGGCTCTTCCAGAGAAGAGAGGTGGGAACCGTGGCCCAGGGCTGAGTCAAGACACCAGAGAAGTCACATGCACACCCCTTTGCCCACCCTGCCACCATTTGCAATAGGGCAAAACCCAAGCAAACCAAACTCTCCTGCCACCCACGGAAAGAAGGGGCTCATACCTGCCTTGGAGCTGGCTTGTTTGTCATTGCCTCTGCTCCACGTGAATTCCGAGTTAGAGAAAAGAAGGCCTATGTCAGAGACAACTGAGGAGAGAATGTTCTCTATGGTTCGTTCTTCCAGCAAGTCCCAGGCAAATTACAACATCTCATGATTATTGCTTTAAACTGCAACATTAACTTTGAAACCATCTTTGTTTTACATATTTTTTCTATCCTGGATAGATTGCTTTAACCTAGATGGCAGGCCACAGGGTATTTTCTTGTGTTTGGAATCTTTATGGGTAGCCATGTGGGTTGAACTCCCTCCAGGCATGCTAAGAACAGTAGAGTGAACTGTAGCCATGAAAATAGAGATTGAAGAAGTCAAACCCTCTGGTCCCCTAGACAATGGGGTACTGGTAAATCTTTACTACCCTTCTGTGGGGAAACACCCTGATCAATTACATACACTGGCCAGTTTTTATGATGTAAATATCCTGAATTTAGCTGTTATCATACTATCAAGGAGACATCGCTGAAGCCAGAGCTGGGGAAAAAAAAAAAAACACATTATTGCTCTGAGACCCAGTACAAGTAAGTGGGCTCTGTCATCACTGGGTCCTAATAATCTGTGTCATTTGAAGATGCGTTGTCATTTTTTTAAAGGTATGACCTAATCCTGGGTGACACGTGTTTCCTAGTTGTAGAGAGCGTTAGTGTGACCGTTTGGAAGGGGTCTCCAGGCTTTTTTGTGATCTAGAAAGTGAATGAACATCCCTCATCCCCTGAGATTTTCCTGGCCTGTGTCAAGAGCATGCTCTCAGTGCTCCCCCTCTTGTGGGAGTGAAGACAGAAGTGGGTGCTGGAGATAGCTGTCGGTAGAAAGGGGGTGATTTGCACAGGGTTTGCCACACTGAGAATTAATACCTCCTTGTCTCTCCTTCTCTCCATCTTTCCTCCCGGGTGGCCCTCTGTGCTGCCCTGTGTACCCACTCCCCTCCCTCTCACACCAGAGAGTTTTCCAAAGAGAGGGAGAAAGCCAAAGCTCGGGGTGATTTCCAGAAGCTTCGAGAAAAGCAGCAGCTAGAAGAAGATCTGAAAGGCTACCTGGATTGGATCACCCAAGCAGAAGACATTGACCCTGAGAACGAGGATGAGGGCATGGATGAAGACAAGCCCCGAAACAGTGAGCAGCTATCTTCTCTTTGAGTGGGGTCTGGGAGTTGGGAAGGGCAGTGAGCCAGAAGAAGGTGTTTCACACCAACCTTTCTTTCTAGCCCATAGCTGATGTGCTTGGAGGAATAGTCTTCTCAGTGATTGCTGTCATTTGCTACTCATAGGCATTAGTCAGAAGGGAAATAACTGCTATTAATGTAGAAATCTCACATTCCATTTAGAAGTTTTGTGTAAGGAGTGTAAAACTTACCTCTCCTGTGGGCTCTGTCCCTTAAGGTGGGTGGGGCAGACATCCTGTCCTCGGGAACAGTTTCCACTAGCCAGCTTCTTGGGAAGTTGTGTACCTGGACAGGATTCCCTCTGCACTGGCAGAGGCCTTCCAGGTTCCCCCCAGATTTCTCTAGAGGAACAGAGTGAGCATCCTCATTGGGTCGGTAAGTTATAGTCAAGGATCCGAGGAAGTGCTCCTGGGAAGGCTGGAGCAAACACGGAGGAATTCCACAGGATCCACTGAGAGTATGAACACCTAGCCAAATCTCTTCCACCAGGTTTTCTCATAGCAGATTGCTGGAGAAACTAGAGCAGGATAAAAATGGGAACAACAGGTGACTGTAAATGTTTAAGATAACAAATCATGGGAAATCAGACTTAAATCTGATTAGCCCAGCCCTTTTCCAAGTGGGATCCCTGCATTAATGGTGGCAGCTGGAACTTAGAAATGCAAACTCTCGGGTTCCTTCCCAAACCCACTGACGAAGGAGCCAGGGGATGAGTCAACCAAAGACTGTGGTGCCTGGTGAGTCTTAGAACCTTTGGGTTAGCTCTAACTACTGTATATTATAATAGATCTTTCTTTGGACCACCAGCTCCCAATTAATGACACAGAGATTTTTTATTAATTATGAATGCTTGGCTTAGACTAGTTCCCAACCAGCTCTTAAAACTTAATTTAACTTAAATTAACCATTTTATAGTAATCTATGTTCTGCCACGTGGCTCATCGCCTCTCCTCAGTACCAATGTCCAATGTCCCCTGTGCCTGGCTGGAGAATCTCCTGCCTCAGATTCTTTCCCAGAGTTCATATCTCGGCCCGGAAGTCCCACCTATCATCTTCCTGCCTAGCTATTGGCCCTTCAACTCTTTGTTAAGCCAATCAGAAGGTGTCTTAGGCAGGTAAGATAAAGTAGAGACACATCTTTACACAGTGTACAAGAAGGTTATCCTAACAGTGCATGCTTCCTGTGACCTTGATCTTTGTGGATTTAATACCCTGTGTCTTCTCCTGTGCTCAGCATTTCTCTTACATTTTGTATTTGAATAGTTGTGTTTCTGTCCTTTCAAGCAGCATGATTTAGAGACAGATTTTCTTAAACATTGGGCATCTCGAGCCCAAAGCCATGCAGGTGAGGGTAGCAAGACAGAATCTGCCTCTAAGCAGAGGAGGACTCAGAGGAAATTCTGCACGAGAGAAAAAGGTGGAGGAAGAAGACAGCCAGAGGTGCAAGCAGACTCTCACTCTCTCACTCCAAAGACTGATGTAATAAACCTATCAACTGCTCCCTTCCCAATAACCCTGCTCAAGGTACAAAGACAAAATTAAAACACAGAAACAACAAGGGACTGGTAACGACGTAATTTAATAACCCAAGGAAGCCTTCATGCTCCACTAAGTAGTTTTGCAGGCTGGAGGATGGGGCCTTTGATAGATGATTACAATGAGCAACGATGCCACTGAGGGTTTTCTGGAAAAATGCATGGCAGCCTCTGTTACATTGGTGATGGAACCATGGCAATTGATTAGTTTGTGGCACAGAGTGGAATAGTACAAAGTTCATTGGCCTGTGAGTCACAGAGGAGCTTACAGAGGGGTTGACGCCTTGGCTCTCTCTCTCTGCCCTTGCTCAGGATTAATCAAGATACATGTTTTGTTAGGATGTGTCATGTAGAAATGGGTAATACTCACAACTTGCTTCACAGCCAGTTACCATACACAGAGACACATGGTTATGTTGCCTCCTGTTAAATTAAGAGCTTCTCCATCTTGCCCTTTATAGGAGTGAATTCCAAAGAGCGTTCCCGGCATGGAGCATACCTTGTTGTTGGAGCAGCTTACACTAACAGGCTTGTCCAGTAGGGGGTCACTGCTAAGGTTTCCTGAAGCTCAACTTTGATAGGTTAGACTTCAGTGTAGGCGTATCAAAGAATTCCACAGTAGTCTGGAATGGAGTATAACAAAGGTTTATTTATTTGGGGATAAACTCACGGTAAAGGTAGCAATCCACAGTCCTCTGTGTATGCTGGAAACTAGGAACCGAATCCAGCAGAAAAGATGGTCTGCGAGCTTTTCATCTGCACTTATAGTACCTGAGACCACACCCAAAATGGGCTGGTATTGGCTGAAGGGGTTGGCTGTTGGCTGAAGGAGTTCCCACAACACTCCAGAGAAATACCTGCCCCCCCATACTGTTTCATTATGGCTGGAGAAAGATCTGGAGTATGCTTCTTGTCCCAGGTCAGTCATGTCCTGGGAAAACCAGAGTGAGAATCTAGATCCTACATATATGGAAGATGGAGGGACTGTTCCTGGGGTGGGGGTTGTCAGGGGAACAAAGATCCGAAGAATTAAGAAATGGAAGGTACACTAGTTACGTGTGATAAAGGGGATGTGGGACTCCAGAACAAAGCTGGAGCAATCATAGAATTCCCAATAAATGTGGAGTAGATGTAATTTAATGATTGAATTCAAGGAAGACCTTGCAAAGAGTAGACCTTTAGTTCATTTGTGGATGAAGAAATGAACTGGATTCTATGTTTATAGACAGTTTGCTATTTATATGTAGTTTATATGAAGAAAGGGCAATTCTGTGGCTTGGAATCTGTAGTCTTCTCTTTAGGACTCCATGGTTTGCTCTTTGAAAGAAATATAAGGGGATAAATGCTTGTGTTTTAATTAGCTTCTGAAATGTCTAAAAGATTACACTGTGGGATTTTTGCCAGTTCTTTTCAGTTCAGAAATAAAACTCTGTGTGTGTGTGTGTGTGTGTGTGTGTGTGAGAGAGAGAGAGAGAGAGAGAGAGAGAGAGAGAGAGAGAGAGCAGGAGACTGTGAATGTATGTGTGCATGCACATGCACAAAAGACATGTGTATCCTGTGTGTGGATATATGCACACACCTTCACATGCATGTGAAGGACAGGGAGGACAGGTTAATCTCAGGTATCATTCCTAAGGACCCATTCATCTTGTTTTCTTAGACAGGGTCTTTCACTGGGACCTGGGACTGGTTGATTAGGTTGGTAAAACCTATAGGGATCTGCCCATCTCTACTTCCTCATCCCTAGGGTTACACGTGCTTGTGGCTCTGCCTGGGTTTTTGCATGGATGCCGGGAATGGAACTCAGATCCTCATGCTTGAGCAGCAAGCCCTTTACCAACTGAGTTGCTACCCCAGCTCACAAAGTGCCACGGACCGGCTCAGGGGAGCCACTCAGATCATGGGAGAAGCAGGGTTCTGGTAACAGGAAGGCACAAGTTCGGCAAATGACAGACAGACACAACACACAAGAGAGTGGTTGGAATCTGCTGCGATTTTTACTGAATTGATGTTTTCATTATATAGTAATCAAACAAAGAACAAATCAGAAGGTCATGTATCATTGGTTGGCACAGTATGAAAGCTTCTTTTAGTCACATCAGCGATATTTAAGAAAAGTATATTATCAGGAACAGGTGTTAGACATAAAGCATCCTTAGAAGAGGAAATCTTGTCCTTGAGAACGTAAACCTCAGACAAGTGGTTTCATCTTATGAATAGAAAGTTTCTGTCTCGTTATTGCTATCATGGCCCTTCCTCTTCCTAACCCTTTATTTCATCTAGTGACCAAATATACCTAATCAGTTCTTTGCACCTGTTGAAATATACTTTTTAGTACCTTCTTATGCAGCAGACATCATGGGGGTTGGAATCTAGCAAGCCTATCCATAAAGTTCAAAGTATAATAACAGTCTTTGTCCATCAACATTAACCCATCTATTCCCTTGCTTATCATACATCCCGTGTATGACAAAGGTTCTGCTGTAGTCTTATACATTCCCATACTGTGATTCCCTATCCCAGAGCTGTTCCTGAAGAGAATGATCCTTGTCTTGTAGATATAAAGACTATCATTATTATGAAAGAGATTGTGCAAAGCTCATATCCCACATAGCCAGCTACTCGAGAAACCCGTCTATGCCTCAGCTGTGGCTAATACCGGGCTGTCTGCCATTGACCTCCAGGAAGCCTAGCCCCATAGGACACGTAGCTCCCGTCCGGCATAATGACATATGTCATGTCACACAGACGACACTGGAGTTGGTGTGGCAACAAAGTAGAGCAATGTGTGACTACTTCATCACAGTTCTGGAGACTGTGCCCTGCCAGCATCCCTATCAGCACAGACCATTGGCCACTGGTGCCAGTCACTTGGAGGCAGTGTTCACTGCTTTGTGGGGACAGCTCAGTAACACATCATTGTACAGTAGCTGAACAAGCCTAAGTGGACCTGTCAGTCAACTTTCATAGGGGAAAAAAGTGCAGAGCGAAATTTTTTTTTCACTTACAAGATGAGAGAAAATTATGTAAACTATATGTAAACAGTTAATTCTCTATAAACACAGACTCCAGTTATTCTTACCATTCAGCCATCCAGGTGTAAATTAGATGTCTACTCTTACAGGCACTGTTGTTGGCACTGGCGATAGAATCATGAGCAAAGCAGTTAAAACTCTTTGCCTTTGGAGAGGTTCTATTCTAATGGGTGAAGGATAGATTAAACTGTCAGAATGGTAAGTCTCAAGAGGTTGTAGTGTTAGATAGTCATGGCACTCAGATTTGAAGGTAAAAAGGAAACACAGATATTTGGAAAGAGATCGTTCAGAGAATGGGAAGGGTGATGTTAACAGGAGCTTGGCTGCTACATTTGAGAGGAAAAGAAGCTCATGCAGTTGGATCTTGGCAGAAGTGGGGCA